CCTAAGGGCCGTCGGGAAGGTTGGTGCAGGGGTTCCCAGGCGCATTGCTGTAAGCCCTTGGGACCACTTAGGGATATATGTATGCTTGTGCCGTCTGTCCGATGTGATAAATGTTGTTGGATGCTAATGACCGTGGAAAGAAACCAAAGTTCCTTGGTGAAGGGCGTTGAATGTGTTTTGATTTGTTCTTGTAATGTACTCAAAAACATCGGCCACTCATTTTGTTTAACTTCATCCAATTTGCTTGTAAAACCACACTTAACTACTTGTTTCGATTAGTGTTACAATTGTATTTCGTTTTGGATAAAGACTGCAGTAGCCGTTAAGCTGAAGGTTTGTAATTAAGTTTTGTACACATATTCTGTCGTAAAGAACAATTTTCGCAGGGTTCACTTACTGTCTGAGCATACATTCGATTTTTGGCAACCGATTGTTTTGGATTTGGTCGGTTCTCACTTTGGGTTTTGGGAACTCCAAAATTCGTATCCTCCTTACGTGCTACTCAGCGGATTGGACGTAACAGTTATACCTATCTCATTACGTTCATTTCCATGTAGTGTGCTCATAGGGGAAGCAAAATGAGACTCCCCATTGGTTTGTGCTGATAAGACAGGGAGCGTATTTGAGACATCTAAGTCAATTGGGTGGGACATCTTGCCCGTGAACATGTCTTTGCTCCCCACTGATACCGCATGCTGAAGTTCATTGTTGGTGGGCACCAGTTTGGACGATTCTATCTTCGGGCCTGTGAATTGTGAGCTGGATACCAAAGGTCTAACATAACGTTTGGTGATCCCGAGAAATCACGAGGCCGAGGTACGTTAATGTACTTGACAGATGTGGTGGTGCACCTAGTCCTGGGGTCATGATCATATGGGTTGCACCCTGGTCCCCTGCTCTGATAGGGATGATTTGACTTCACAAAACTAGTTCCAGCGCTGGATGGTGGCATGTTGCGGTTCATCGGCATAATGCCCACCATTACAATCCGAGTTGTGACCATGGAAATGAGTTAAAAGCTTTTTATTCCAAGGCAATGGCTTATGTTGCTTGGTAGTGCGTATGTGTTGGAGCGTTTTCGACAACGAAATACCCTTCACCGTTGTTAGACAAAATACGCTTAAAACTGCTCTGTCTAATGTTAGTACTGTGTTTAAATCCCTGAGTTTTGCCCGCTGGATTTCTGGTCCTGAGTCTATCCTTCGATGGGATGCCCACTATACTTTGACCGGAGTGGTTAGTCTTGGAGGTGGAATTCTCAGGAACTGCCAAGTTTAATGAAGGGGTCGTATCAAGATCCACGAGCACCTGTTTCTCAGGTGATGCTGGAGGATAACTACACAAATGTCTGCCGTCGAGTGTTCCTTCTATGCTTTTAGGTGCCTCTAAAATTGTAAAAGGAAAAGCCAAATCATTCTCAATACGCTTCCTCTGGATGGTAACGTGTTACTTCTGAAAGGGATGAACCCTAGTGTAGCGGCCAGAATCCAATAATCTTGGCCTGAACGCGGGAAATAGCTAGGCGGTGCCAACTGACGTGAATCTGACTAGTTCCTGCGTTCTACTGTATAGCTTCCTAACTTCCGCGAGTGACGCACAGTCAAAGGTTGGATCGAAATATCAAAACACGGTTTGTAGTAATTCAATAGTAGATTCGTAACAAAATCTGTGGTACTATCAAAGCAACAATAAGTTATGTCAAATTACAAAAATACCTCAACAGTGCCGTTGGGTAACTATACAGTCCAAAACGTTCTCGGGTACAAATACGTACTACACGGTAAAAACTGGTTAAAAAATACAACTGTTAAATACCTGTCGGTCAATAGGAATATTCCCGACAAAAGGATCAAAACTCTGCCTACAGGAATCAAATCAACAAACAAACGTTCCAGTAGACAGTCAAAAGACAAACAGTCAAATCACTGCACAACCGTAAGTTGAACCAAAACAAAATGTCGTGCGCAGTAAAACAACATCACCTTATCAACAGTCCAGCGTCACATAATAGGAAAGTGAAACACTCATAATAAGTCTCAAACATACAAAGGCAAATACCGAGTGTAAAGTCAAATAAGACAGTTAAACAAGCAAATAACATTACACCGGCGAGAGTCAAAGGTACACCATCCATAACGAGGGTAAAAATGTTAAAATAAATGTCAATACAATCAAATAAGGGTGATCGGGAGGGATTTTCAGATCATTTTTCCGTTACACCTAGTGAGTGTGCTTCGCGGTCACTGAGCCAAGAAGACAGCCAAGTTTCCGATGTAGCAATGACGTCAGGGCTTTCGCTGCTTATTACATTACTGAGCTCAGTTCACTTGTTTACAAAACTACGTGCGTTTGTGTACAGACAGCGAAACTACTTAAATGGGTTTCCGTCCTATCCGTGGAGGCTTCGGTATCATTTATTGCCAAAACCTCATTACACGAAAACCAATTACCTTCAGGTCTTGCACTGCAGCTTCACACCTGGATTTAAGTTCTACTTCTCGATTTTCGATTCGATCGGTAAGAGCTGGATCCTTTCGCACGAACACCCTAGATGCTTGAAGTCTGAGCACTCTTCATAGTCGGATCCCTCTCATCTAATGACTTGAACACGACTTCAGATGGCCGAAGCTTATTTCCAGTAATGACTGTCTCACGTTTGCCCACCCCATATATCTGGAGCAGGGTGACTCCCGGCACTCTTTCCCGCAAAAGCTGGAAAATCGAGCATTATATCTTGCCAAAGTCACGTTCAAAACGTTCACGTGGCTCTGGGTTTCTACTTTTTTCCACTCCGTGGAGGATAACGGACCCATCAAGGAGCTCTACTTTGTCTCTGCTCTGTGTAGTGATGATAGGTGGTTCGATGACCGTTACTGACTTCTTAACGTGCCGTTCAGACCTAGTTAATTGCTGTTTCTCGGAGTAGGACATGCAAGGTTTAGTGAAGCCAAATCCAGCTACCCAGACTCCGAGAGCCTCAGGACGGACTTGCATCCCACCCCGTTTGGTTCTTGTCAACGGCTGAGTTGTCAAATTGCGTGCGACCTGTCGCCTGCATGGTTCTGTCATTGGCACTGGGAGTGCTCCACTCCTGTTTTTTTTACCAGAAGTAGACCCAGTCATATGGTCAGCAGTTTTCAGACTAGATCTGCCAGCTGTGTGGGTGCGAGAACCAGAAGATACTCGCTTCACCCCGCTTAGTGTAGTCTTTCCAAGTTGCTGTTAGAAAACCCAGTAGGTAGTCTACATTCTTGTGGGACATTCTTAAAATTTTGCACAGCAATCCGTGTGTCAACGGGCGCTGTGCCGTTATCATTGTCACAGTTATCAGCTTTTAATTTTGGTGGCAGTTTCTCAGTTCTCGGATTTAGGAGTGTTTTTGCTTCTTATACCAGAGTGCGAATATACGAGCAGCACCACGTACAAAGCCAGACACTTCCCGCGTTGCTATACCTCTTATATTTTGAAGGTGTGAGGCTTGTGGAGTTATCGTGGAACCAACTCTTACATTCTCTACACTGCAAGCCAGAAGCCACTGTGAGGCGGTGCCCGGCCCCGCCACGTGCATTTTACGACACTTATGGCTCACCATGTAGCACGAACGACAGAACTTCGCCCAGGAAAATTTCCTGTCTCATCTTACTCGAATAATATTCCTATTAGAGCAAAAATACTACAGCCTTTGATGTGTAAACACAAAATGCTAAGAATCTAACTGAACGTGAAAGGTTGCTCCCCTTTTCAAACAGCGAGCGATGGTGGAATACATTATAAGAATATATCCTAATATGATCCCAGTGTTTCGAAAGTCACAGCAAGATACTCCTAAACGTTTTGCCGTGTGGATTTGTTTTAAAATCCGTATATTCTGCAGAAGAAGCTATGCCTTGCACAGAGAAACGTCTGGAAATATCTAGAAATATCAAGTTGGAATATATTCTTAAAATGGTGGCAATATATGGGTACACAAAGGTTATCAAAATTAAAATATTGTACCAAAATAAAGGGAAACGGGCTCATCAATTTAGGAATTGTCTTTGTGCGAACATTACAAACTCAGAGGCCAATCACTGGTTACTCATACTTGCAATATACCCACAAATGCGAGACCAGGGAAGAACACAATGGCATGGTCAGATGGAATAGTTTACTTGAGAGTTGCTGCAGAAATACTGGAGAATCGATTACGAGCAGTGCAACGTGACACGACAGCGTGCCAAATGATGTAGATGCCTGACCGTATGCCTTCAACTTGGCGAGTCCGACAAAGCTGTGGAGGTCAATCTAGTGTTGAATCCCGCTGAATCCAATGCTACTGATTTTAGGGAATTACGCTCTGCCACACTACCTTGAACTAGGCAACTTGCTAAACATTTATCGTCCTATATTTCTTACTGATTATTCAAGTCGTTTTTATTTCGTGGTGCATTTTAATAACTCATTATCGTCTCCATTTTGTCTCCATTCCACTGAATGACAGGACAAGCACAATTCGATTGTCATCCAGTGGTAACAACAACATGGATTACGAAATATGATACCTAATAATACCTAATATTATATATCTGCATGTGTGTAAAGTGATAATGCAACAAGAGACTAGGATAATGCAGCCACCACACAACAGTTCATACCTATATGACTGATATAACGTAACCAGCCAAGTCGAGAAACCGGATAATAAAACCGAACTCTTAACTAAAAATACTATGACTAATGATAAACAAAGCTCAATTAACTGCCAGAGATACTTGTTTCAAAAACTATTTGTGCGAAATGATGACCAGTAATATCTGGCAGGCCACGATGCACTTACATGAACACGCACCAAAACAGGTAGTGCATACTCCATGTCTCTGAAAACCGATTACGTGACAGTTATTCACAGATAAACAAATATGAGTTTCAGAAGCCGATGTTATTGACTTTCAACAATACAGATGCTATACCTAGTGAACCGTTGTTCATCGTTTCAACTGCGCAAAGTTTGAAGTTGTTGCAAACCCGGGCAATTAAAGTGGGACTGAAGGCCTTGACGCATGTAACAGGATCAGGAGGTTTTACGTAGGGTTTTCTAAAAGCTGTATCATACTTACCAGTCAGAACAACAACAGTTTATTTCACTCGAATATAGTTAGATTTTGGAAGTCAACATTGCGTCCGGCGACTGGCAATATAACAGCTCAGACTTCCAACGAAATTTCTGGTGTCAAACACCATGATAAACCCGATATCTTCTAGATGCTACCTTAGTATATTAGGACACCAAGTTGTACTGCGAAATCAGCTGTCGTATTTGTCACCGTTGTCAAGCTATTGTCGATGTTTACTTAGTCCTCATTCTGTTCTCAGCGGACAAAAACAGTCTTCCTCCTCACAAAAAGTTGATGGGCTTCGGAGCTTATTCTGTATGAAGAATGTATCGCATTTATCTACAGAGTCAGAGAACCATGCACCTGCGGTTGGTAGCAGTCAAAACGAAGAAGACCTAAGTAAGAAAAAGTCCAGTTTGATCAAGCGGTTCAAGGATGCATATGCTATCTATGGAAAGGTTACGCTAGTAACACATGGCGTAACATCCTGTCTATGGTTCGGAGCATTTTACTCGTTATCAATCAGGTAGGGAGGTTACTTTCCTGCAGTTATTTCCTACCTTTTGGCAAAAATAATGGTAAACTCGTTTGACTATTCCCAGCAATTTTTAAGGCGAGTGGTTTAGAAATGTTACAAACTGATGGTTTTCGCCTTAGAAATAGTCACTGAAATTTTTGTAAACATTTTTCTCAAATCGTAAGTCCTACCATCTGAGAGCACCTCGAGATTTTTCTCTTTTTATGCAGTATTTCAGGCTATATTGCCATTCAACTGTGTTGTGTTCTGTACACGTACGTCCTCGGGTAGCGTTGGCAGTACTCAACCGAAGTCAATTTTCAGGTACTAATGAGTTAATGGCCTATTAGGGGAAATTAATGGAATACACTGACCTACCTAGTAGATGCACATGCTTTTTCTAGGTCTTCTAGAAGCACCCAGTATTTTTAATAAACTCTTACACCAGTGTGAATCTTTGATCACAAACAAGTCTACCTTTTGACTTTCCTGTCATTTCACTTATCCATAACCTGTCATATATTCCCTATATTTAGTCTGCTTGTAGTAAAGTGGTCTATTGCTTTTACGTTTTGATGCTAAGCTTTCATTGATTTTCACACTTTCACTAGATCCTGATTGAGTACTTTTAACTGAAGTAAATATAAAAAATACCGACCCGAAATAATCGATTGACAAATTACTGTGAATAATCAATCAGACTAATTTCAGCTTAGCCTTAATCTAACCCCAAAAGGTAACTGCTGTGGGCAGACATCACCAAACACTTGATGCGTTTTCGTCACACGACAATTTCAGCTATTTTACGCCACTCGGTAAGTTGGTTTTCCATATATCCGCTGTGTTGCATATGATTTTCCGAATAAGTATCAATATTGGGCCGACTGCTATACCCCAAGACATTATCTACATCTGATCCTATTTCAGCAGTAGAATGCTGAAAATCGTCTTTCGGTATTGGGTACAAAATACACTGGAAGATGTTACGCTATTATTGTTTCACTACTTTCAAACTTCTAGAGCTATAATATTCCGAAGTACCTCAGTTAGTGGCTGCTAACTTGACGCGATTGTCTACGTTGTAGACCACTATAACCCAGCGAGCCACCCCAACTGAAATGTTCGTTTTTTTGAGGTCCTGCTATCCTAAAAACATCTGTTGGATAGCGGCAGAATGGAAGCAGTTGCAGCGGTCATATAATTAACTACGTTATAATGAGGTTCTAAAGACCAAGTCATACTGCTGGCTGGACAGGGTGCGACGATACAAAGGTTTTTTTATGTTATCGATGACCAGCAGTTTATACTGATGTTACCTCTAGGAAGGGAGGATACGTAAACGACCCCTAAGGTAGCGTACTCCTGTATGCTCTACAGTGTTTCGATGCAAACGGTACGAGTTTTTCTTGTTCACCGTTAAGGTAATGAATCCTCAGATCAACACCCTTGAAAAGCTGAGAATCGCCTCAAGCAGATTTCCCAAGGGCTCTGCAGTCACGCGAAACTAATCCGTCTTCTCTCAGTAATTCACAGTTATAACTCCCAAGGCATAAGCAGCTGGAAAGTACTAATCACCTACACGCTTCTATCAGTATGCGTATAACTATAAACCACTCAAATCTAGTCTGAGAGTACCATGGTAGAGTTTGACTACATGTTGAATCATTTGATGTACCACAGTGGAAAATCTGGTTATCGCTCTGCACACACTGACTGATAGTCACACTATAGATTGACTTCTGAAATCCAGCATAGAGTAGGAAGAGGGGTTGGTAGAAAAATATTCATTCTCTGAATCAACACATTTAACAGAAATGATTAATCCCATACCACTGGCGTTAAAAATTTTTTCTACCACTGGAACAAAGGATTAAGAGCTTCTGGATCATAAAAATGAGGTTTGAAAGTTATGTGACTACTTTGACACGATTGTAAGCAGTAATCGTTGCTCGAAATTTCACCTAGTAAGTAATTTTGGTTCACGGTTTACGATATCAAATAAGCAATCTAACAAAGAGCTGTAACCTACCTTACCTATTTTTGTCGTCTCCTGATAGACTAACAAAATCAACGTAGAAACTCGCACACAGGTGCATCGACTCAAGTGGCCACACTTGATACTGGTATAAAAAAAGTGGATAGAAAAAGAGTGATATCAAAGTAGACAAAGTTGTGCGAGAGAATAAGCAGTCTGGATATAAACGTTAGTGCGAATATTCAACATTTTGACGATGTCACTGAGTGAATACATCTACGACATTATGACTAGTTTTCAACCATGTCACCAACAGGGTTCCACTGATTCCTTTCGTCTCAGGTTCCCTAACCAGACAGTCTACGTCTACCCACACAACTCAGACCAAGAGTCAGAGATTTCATCTGTTGGTACCACTTATTAGCCGGGTCACCCTGAACCCTCTTCCAACCAAATCAAGCTTCCAGCGTGGCACATCCAGGTAGGCAGTGGCTCGACATGCGCACTACATGTCGAAGCTATCTCAGTTGACTAAGGTTCACTACTTTATCAGTCGACTTGCCTATCTTGTCTAGTACCTTTTGCCTGACTTCAACATTGCAGTGTGACGAAGACATCTCTGGTCGAAACCCTGTAATCGCTTCATGTCCTCTACTTTTAAAGGCCATGTCTCAGGTGTATAAGAAGACGGAACGAACAGCAGTAAAATATGTTCCTCCTTTGATAAATAGTTAGGTATTTCGTTAGTTGGTGCCACAGTCGGCGCAATTTGTCATATGCCAAGCGGGCCTTCTGTATCCGAGCTCAGACTACGTCAGCGACCAGCGATTTCAAGCTAACACTAACTCCCTAAGTAAGTGAAGTGGTCGACACATCCCACCATCAGTGAAAGTACTTGCAACAGACTAGTCCTAAATCATCATACATTTGTCAAGTGCGAAATGCATACCAAAAATACTCAGGTCTCTGTTCAAGGTGTTTAGAAGACCCTGCATTGCGCCAGCGTCTTCACCTAGCAGGTCAGTATCGCTCTGCATATTGCAAGTCAACCAGATAACTTCCAGGGAGCAAGTTAATCCCTGTGAATTCAGACGTAGCCAAGACTATGTCCATTAGTACGTTTCAATAGAAACGATGACAGTGGATATCCATGTCAAGAAAACCAAGCAGGCTTTAGACCCGGCCGCTGGTGTATCGACCAAATATTCACACTGCACCAGGTTTTGGAACACACACGCCTACCGATGTCCGAAAATAGCTGCATTTCCCAACCTGAAGGTGGCATTCGAGAAGTTTTATGGCAATGTCTCTCACTGAAAGGCGTGCCGAGTGGTGAGATGTCCAAGGAGCTATGCTCATCGAGTGGTATCCATCAGGGGTGCCCACTGTCTCCATTCTTATTCAATTTTGTCATAGATATTCTCATGCAGGTCTCCCTCTCGTCACCTGGTTACACAGACGTTGACCTAATCGGTGGAGATTTTCATTAGACCTAGAATACGCAGATGACATATCATAGTCCTGTTAGGTGAAGACGCTGACAAGATGCAGAGTCTTCTGAACACCTTGGGTGGTGATTTGAGAATGTTTGGGATGCGTTTCTCACCAACCAAATGCAAATTGTTGCTCCAGGAGTGGTCTTCAGCGGTGCCACATCTAACAATAGAGAGTGAAGTGGTTGAGTGTGTCGACCACTTCACTTACATGGGAAGTAGGACCAGCCCTGCCCTGATGGCTCAATGACCGATGAAATCTCTCCACGGATACAAAAGGCTCGGTTGGTTTTCGCCTACTTACACCACCTATGGCGCCGCCGTGATATCCGATTATCTATTAAGGGTCAAGTGTACTGCACACCAGTACAGTCTGTCCTACCGTATGGCTGTGAAAAATAGCCATTGAAGGTGGAGGACATGAGAAGGCTTCAAGTGTTTGACCACCGTTGCCTTCACAGTATAAGCCATATGCCGTGGTGTCACCACGTGAGTAACGCAGACGTCAGGTATAGTCTTAGAGAGTAGAGGTAAGTCGGTTGACTAGGTTTTGAACCTTCATTTACTGTGATGGTGGGCTCTGACACGTGTGACGTATGCCTAGTCACCGATCGCCTCGTTATATAATTTTGGCTGAAGCAGGTCTAGGCTGGAAAAAGGCTCGAGGTGGCCAGACTAAAACATGGCACCAATGCATCAAGTCTTTGACTGTTGGTTTGAGCCATGTGGGCGATGCAGACTAGGTGGTTGGGGTCGGTGGGACAAGAGGAACCAGTGGTTGGAGACTCTAGGTGACCACATGGCTCATAACCGATGTCAGTTGCGCAGATGTATACACACATTATCCTCATCTTAACGACGCTATACCGAATCTCACCACTCTCTCATTCTTCCTCTCTCTCTTTTATCATACTTTATATTTCTCTTGACTGACTTTTCTTATCTTCATCTTGCGCCTCACTGCCTTTACTTGATGTACTGATATGAGGTGTGACAACTCGGACTGTTACGCAGTAATGTCTTGTCCTAGGTTGATCTGGATGGATGAATGAACCCTAGGATCTTGATCACAATATTAGTGAAACTACTTTGCCGTTGTCACAAGGAAACCTATTTTCCTTATAGACTGGGATGATCAGTGAGGTACACTAGTCTGATGGCACTACCTCTGATTCCCGTACATTACATAGTAACTCTATCACTTATTAGTGATTTCGTTCCTTCATCTGTAGAAAATTCCAGCGGGAAACTGTTGGGTTTTAGTGTTTTGCATCGTTTCGGGTTCAAAACAGCTTTCTCAACGTAAAGAAGAGTTGTTGGACTAACATCTACATCCCATTCAGATTCAGACTCGATATTAGGCAACTGAAGCGTTACTGAGGGCCTGTTGAACCATACTTCAAAGCTTTCTGTTCAACGTATTAGCCGCCCGTCCTGGGAGATTATCAGCGTTCCATATTTTTCGGTGATGGTCTCACTAACTATTGTCTTCTTCTTGCCGATATCTTTAACAAGCCTAAATAGTTGCCGAGTTTTGCTCAATGCTGATATTTTCTCTATCTCTCTCGCTTTCGCCTCCCACCGCTGCTCATGATCGACGCGAATACTCCTGGCCAATTTATCTCCAAATCGCTTTTGCACTTTATCGTAGTCAGAGCCAACTGAAATCTGTCTTTCCATATCAATCGCTTCGGATGATGTCGCGGAAATCCAGTGACGTTTGCTAACCTTCGGGTGTAAGTTACCGACTATCTTTACCACTGTTTCTACATCAGACTTAACATCACACTAGGTTTCCCCAGTATGAGCATTGCTGTCATGTTCAGATCAATGCTTAGCTAACTCGCTGGATGCGTATGTCGCGGCCTCATCCACAAATTGCGCACCGATCCTCTTCTAAGATGGCTTACAGCATACGATCTATCTGTGTTTATGGTTGGTTTGATGTTGGCTAACGCCATGTGAGGCATCGTCTTTCCTTATGCTTAAAGTCAGTGCTGGTCAGAAACAATTGATTGCTGGAGCACAGTTGCAACAGACAATCAATTAATCCTTTGCATCATCTGAACTGCAGTTGCTGAGTGCATTGGTGGAGATTACAAATAAGCATCACCTAGCCCTACGATCCTTTCTAGTCCTTACAGGTCCATTCACTCGAACAGTCTATAAACCGCTGTTTACTGGTGTCCAGTCGAAAAGTGCACTTTTTGCCCTGCTGCTCAATTCTCTACCTACACCAGCGGGTCCGTAGGAGCTAGCCGCTGGGTCTCCGGATTTTAAAGATTCACTACTATGGTCAGATGAAGTCCTGTACACGTGTCTCGGACACAGCATACATCCATTGTTAGAGATTCCAGAGTTTTGGCGAGCGATGATTGATGCCGGATTCGGTATAGAATTGGAACACTGAAAGCTCCCGGATAAAATCGATGGCAGGGTCCTAAGAGACTAGGAATGAGGTTTCGATGGCTTCGATGTGAAGGCAAAAGGGGAAGTAGTTATGTTACTACCCAAAAATCCTTTCTGGTATGGCAGGAGCTCGAGGGAACAAGCGTTCCACCAACATCATTCCTTGGGTCATTGTGATATGCAAGCCCAACCACCACGTCAAGGTAGCAGCTATCGGTTGGGGTGCCATATTACGACGTATGTCACCCCATACCTTGAGTCTCTTCCATCTGTTGGTGGTGGCGCATGACTTCTAATTTTTCCATACGTTCGACGTATATTTAGACTATGGCTTACTAAAACCAAAAATATTACATAGTGAGTAGACTTTATTTTCTTTGCTTTGTAGGAAGTCTCAGCTCACGTGTCTCTGTAGACTACTGTTGGTTAGTGTAAGGTTCTGATTTCCACTACTATCTTTCATGGTTGATCATCTGATTGTTTGACCGAAAAAGTAGGTAACAAATATGAATATGGGGTAATGGTTGAAATAAGTTTGTTAATTCCTTTCCTTCAAATTCAAAATTGAAGTATGCCGATCCAACATTGAAGTTAATATTAAAATGTGTATTTATTTTCCAAGAGGAACTGGGTTAAGTGATTTAAGTCATTGGTGATATTGGTTAAGTTGTATTTTACAAAGAACTAAATCAACTCTCAGCTTGCTAATAGTGACATATCTGAGGAAGTTTGTGATAGACATTATCGTTATGAGAATACAATGCACTCAGTCAATATTTTCGATAGGTCAATCCTATATCAAGCACATGAGAAGAGTGCAGTATGGGTTAAGGGTCTTTAAAACATTTCAACCTGCATGCTTTTCTCATGTGATACAGTGTTTAACTGGAGTTCACTGTGTATCTAAGTTCATGAGCTACATAGTAATTGCCACAAGTATAATGTAATAATTCTGATTTGGCTAACTTAATGTTAGATGTGTGGTCCACGTACTTTATATATGCATGTTTTACTGAACTGCGTTCCAAAAATAAAGTTTATCAAGCTTATTAAACATATCTATTGTTGTATTTTACTACAGTGGAATAAACCTGTTGGATATTATGCATAATCTTAATGCACCGGAGTGGTTGACCAAACCTCTTCACCTTGGCGGGGGTACTGTGAATAATTTGGCAACAGCTTTATTGTTCTACAAACTAGCAGCACCATTCCGCTACGGTCTGACACTTGTACTAAGCAGGTACCTAGTTCGTTACCTTCGACTCAAAGGGAAAGCACCACAAGTACAAGAAAGTGATCGCCTCCGTAACCTAGCTAAAGAAGGAGCTCAAATTTCGCGGGACCAAATCAGAGCGCGTATGGCTAGAAGTCGAAGAAATATGCTGGCACGGAGAAGTCAACGGTGATGAATTCTGGATTCGTGATAAAATGTATCATTTCTCCTTATTGTACATTGATCTTTTCATACTTATTATTGAAAATGTAGGATACTAGTGTGAGTTGTTACTATTTATTCGTTAACGATTTGACTTATAACAGGTCTAGACAGCATTAAAGGAAATAGTTGAAACACAGACTGCATATGTGTTGTGATGTTATCCTATGTGACAGTAAAAGCTCAATCATTCGACCATGTAACTGAGACTCTGTACTCCTTACTTGGAGTGTTGTTATTGTTATATGTCGGCTGCTTTAAGTTTTGCGAAATGGTCAGCTGTTGTCTTGTTATGGCGATACAAGCTAATGATGTAACTTCATGCTGACTAAAGCAATTATTGCTTGAGGTTCTGATTCACCAAAGAACATTTGGATAATGGAAAAACTAAAAGTAGTTGTAACCATATTGTAAACAATTTACGCTGAGGTCTAAAGGCGAAAGCATTCCGCTAAGCGCACAAGGGATTAAAGACAGTGGAACACCTACTGTAGTGGGCGTTGCTAATAACAACGGATATAAGTAGTATGTATCGAGAGGGTGACAGGAATCATAAGGAATTACCGGCAATGGGTAAGGTTTCTGCCAAGAGCAACGCAGGGGGCAACATAGGCGTATTACAGGGGATGCTGCTGATAAGAGTGTTTGAAGAGCCGGTCAAGAGGAAATCAAGACAGGAACGGAGACGAAACGAAGACATTTGCAAATGGCTGCGTTAGTGCAAGGAGTACCATATGTGACCGCTACCATTCCGATTCTTCCTAATATACGTCCTCTCGTCGAGTTGTCTTCTGTTTCTTCACTACTAGTAACCACCATCCCTCGTTTAAGAAAGGTAGGTTTGTACCTACCTTCTTGCCCTACGGCTTCCCGTCATTGACGACACGGTTCTTCAAGTACGAACAAAACTCTGCTGAAACGAACATCCTTAGAAAAGCCTCAGGAACACATCCTTTAGGATTACTACCTTTTCCTCCAACAAAATTATATCGTTCACAATTCCTTCTACTGTTTTACCCTCCAACATTGTTAACAACCTAAGCATAGTTATTCCATTGACCCCACGTGATCAATTTGATTAGTCTGATTACTTTACATGTGTCAGGAGATTCGATGGTAAGTTAATATGAACAGCATTAAGATACAGAGCAGAAAGTACAGTGCTGTTGAATTATACTGCGAGAACCAATTTTTGACCTCTACTTAAGCACACGCCGCTGGCTGTTTAAATGTGAAAGATGAGTTCTCTGCAAGTTACCATCTTGCTGCGAGAGGCAGCTTTAGACCACATCAGAGAGTAGAAAGGATGGACTTACCAGAAAGGTATCTACGGAATCGTTTGCCGACACTGTTCTGACAACCAACTGTTCCTGACCAGCATTAACTTCAACAATTCAGTTGCCTGTAGTAGTATTCTCCATTTAGCTAAGTACGCGGGAATAATTCGAGGTAAAGTGTTAGTAATGATTATTTGGACATCTTAAACCATTGTCAGCCTTAAAACTGCACACAGTCATTTGGTTTTGAATACTCACGCTTTAAGTATTGCTTAATTTGCTAACGATGGGTAACCGAGTGGAAGTGAGGCCATTCTCAACAGTTCTCTCCCTTTTTGAAGATATCATTCAGTGCCATATAGGTACACAATTTCGTAATGGGTTTGTATTATGGTAGGTTATTGTATAACCTGCAGGTGATATTGTGTATCTAGTGCAAGGAAATCTCTTACACTACTTTGTGAGTTTTCAAAAACGTAAAGCTTATGAAAATCACTTGACCATAATATTTCGGAAATTACTGGTAATAACTAGTTTTATTTTTGACAACATATATTAATCAGCATTTCTGGACAAAATCTTAAGTAGTTTTTTTGCACGTTTCTGAGAAATTGCCGATTCTGCAAAAGAAAAGTGAAGATATACAACTTCAGTAAGTGAAAACCAGAACAATAAATTATTTAGAGAACCATCATAAATCTCACCAAGTTTGATCTTGTAGTCATCAATGCTCAAGCACTTTAGGTTTCATTCCTGAAGTTTGAGTAGTATTCCTGAAACCAATTTATATGGATCGAAAATGACTGTGCAAACTTACCTGCACCTAAATACTTGTTTACGTATATTTCGAGTATATATATATATATATGGCCTACACGTGACAGTTTATTCATTTTTCTTTTGATTTTTCCGGTGAACATTCACAACCTAGCATCAGGAGTCAATGTACTATTAGAGTGTTAGATCCCACATTCTTGTAATCACTAGGTCAATCGTATCGCTTCGTTTCCTATGAATTAAAAGTGGTTGGAACTACTAACATTTCTGTAAATACACAAAACGGGGCCAGAGAGATGTGTTACCAGTGTATATAATGACTTCAGAAGGTAGTCTGAATTAGTGTCGACACTCAGATAAGTCCAGCAGGATCAATGTACATTACCAGTTTCATTGAGTAGTGTCATCAATTGGAATTTGCTGAATAAGTATATCACAACTAATGGTGGTAAACTAGGTCGTTGTATATATATATATATATATATATATATATATATATATATATATATATATATATATATATATATATATATATATATTACTAGTCCATAGTGTTATCCTCAAGACTTATCACTGATGCCACATCTATCAATAGAAAGATGAGATAGGTTTTACATACCATCGTTGAAACATACCTGATTTCTGCTGGCAAATATGTTGCGGTGAGCTATCCATTTTATCACCAGTATGTTTTGTACATTGCTCAGTGCCATCACTAACTTCAGAGACTGATTCACCAGCTACCTCGGAGCACCGATTTAGTAAGTCTTCTCGAGCACGTCCAACTAACTTTTCAATATACCGTTTAAATATCCGAAATCCTGAGCTAGGGAGCTAAGAAATTGGAAGGATAAAGGTGTACTACATTTATTATGGTCATTTTAAAGAATAAAAATGGTACCTGGTTAGCAGTTAGATGAAGCCACTGGTCACTTTAGGCATTTTCGTAGCTCAGTGTAACCACTCTGCACTGCATTCCATCTGAAATAAAACAGTAATTGGCTTATTAGGTATGCCAGCAACACTAAAGCACGAGAAAACCAGGAATGTTCCAGACCTGGACGAGGCTGCATCTATCAGATTTTCACCCCATGACAGGTTATGGAACGCAGGTACAATAACTGGCCCCCAACACTTGCCATATTTCTTAACCTGATGGTGGCATTTGATTCTGTTGACCGTGAAGTGTTGTGGCAGTGTCTGACTGTGACAGGAGTACCAGGCAGGTATATAATGCTTATAAAAGCTATCTACTCAAAGCCACACACCCGTGCAAGGGCTAATGGAAAGTTGTCACGTAAAGTGGTGTCCGACGGGAATGTCCACTGTCATCGTTCCTATTCAACTTCGTCACAAACGTACTAATGGACATAGCCTTGGCTACGTCTGAATTCACAGGGATTAACCTACTCCCTGGAGGTCACCTGGTCGACTTGGGATATGCAGAGTGATACTGACCTAGGTGAAGACGCTGTCGTAATGCAGGGTCTTCTAAACACCTCGAAGACCTGAGTATTTTTGTATGTTTTTTGCACCTGTCAAATGTAAGATGATGATTCAGGACTGGTCCGTTGCAGTTGCTCGCCGTTTAGTGATGTGGAGAAACGGTGGAATGTGTTGACTGTTACGTAGCGACAAGAAGGCAGCCAATAGGGAAGTTTTCAAGTCGTGGTCAGATCATGTTCAGGTCATGATTTATGCATGCGCTGACATGAGGACCTGATTGGAGGAATTCGACCTCATACAAGAAATCTGATTGATCCATTTGTGGCTTCACTTTCTGAGAGTTTTGTAACTTCATATATGTCATGTTATTTGTCTAATAAAAGTTGTTGCTGTTCTTGCAGTCGCAGGCCGTCTTTGTCTTTTGATTCCTCCGCGGCTCAGTGAAGCAGAAGGTACTGAGGGAGGTCAGTCGTAAAGGTATACAGTTGAGGTGTCTATTGAGTTTCAGTATCACTATACCCACGGGCGCAACCCCACCACTCGGTCACAACAGCGACCACTTCACTTACCTGGGAAGTTGCGTCAGCCCAAACTCGCTAGTTGCTGACGGAGCCTGAGCTCAGATAAAGAAGGCCCGTTTAGCATTTGCCAACTTGAATCATCCGCGGCACTGCGAAATATCAGACTACCTATCAAAGGACGAGTATACTGCGCTGCAGTCTATTGTTTCCTGTTATACAGCTGTGAGACATAGCCTTTAAAAGTAGAAGATATGAAGCCGTTACAAGTTTTTGACCGCAGGTGTCTTCGTAGAATTGCTCCCGCATGGTGGGATCTCTATGTGAGCAATGTAAAGGCAGGGTCGAAGGCACTAGGCTCATCGGTTGATGAGGTAGTGAACCTCAGCCGAGTGAGGTGGTTTAGACGTAAACTGTGTATGCCGAGCCACTGCCTACTTCGACACGCAATGCTAGGATGAGATTAGTTTGGAAGACGGCTCAGGGTAGCGAGACCAAGACGTGGCACCAGTCGATAAAACCTTTGACTGTTGGTCTGAGTCGTATGGAAAGATAAAGACTCCCTGGCTGTTTTCGAATACATATGGATTTGTCACAGCCTGCTGTGGGGTATCAGGCGAGTTGTGTATATTTGAGTAGTGTCCATCAAGTACGTCTGCTCCATCCCTTTTTACTGAACTTTGTAAGACGTTATTATGGAGGTCTCCCTCTCGTCGCTTGACTTCCCAGAAGTTGACCTGCTCACAGGAGAATTTTCAGTAGATTTAGAGCAAGTAGACGATATAGTCCTGCTAAGTGCAGATAGTGGGGTCTTCGAGAAACATTGAGTGGCGGCAATTGGAGAATATCCGGAGTTTTTTCTGTTCACCATCTAACAATTAAGAGTGAGGTGTTGCAGTGCACTGTTTATTTCAGTTACTCATGAAGCGAAATCAGCCCTAGTGGGTTAACAGCCATAAAAATCTCTATGCGGATGAAAAACATCCGCTTGTCATTTGCTAACTGAAGCCATTTATGAAAACGCCTTGATATTCACTTGTCTACCAAGGGTCTAATGTACTGCACTGCAGTTCGCCGTTCTACAGTGTGTGAAACATGACTGTTAGACATGTAGGCCCATAGAAGCCCTCAGGTGTTCGACTATTGTTGAATAGGTTTTGTGCCACCAAGTCAGTAAAGTAGAATTTAAGTGTAAGGTCTTAGGTAGGAGAGGTAAGTCGCTGCATATACTCTTTTCCACGTTACGTCGGAGCTGCTTGCCATGCTTGAAACCTACGAAAATTCGTTTGGGTGTATCTCCTCATTTAGAAGACGCTGTTGCGATTTACTTGATATTTCTAATCTGCTGATGGTAAGGTGCAATTTGTAATACTTTTTTACAGCAGACTGGAGTTGGGACAAATGTTATTGTTTTGTCCCAATAACTATCTAGCCAGTCTTAGTATTTTCGTTGTTGAGCTGCGCTCGCAACGGTTTACCAGTTGAAATTTACCTACGTCTATTTAGGCGCGTGCACGGATCAACATGCGATGGGGTGTTTAAACAATGCTTTAGAGGAAACGGTAATCCTCCATCGAGCATATAGCGACAAACTCTATGTTGATCTGTCGCTGAGTTCAGGTCCGCAGTTGTAAAAGCAGACAATGTTCCTCTTTATGTTTGAAATCCATGCTAGCTGGGAATACATTATCATCTCAGTAAAGTATTGGATGACCACCATTATCAGCCAGCTGGGATGAAATTCATCAAGTACCAAGTAAGTGCTTTTCCACTTGTGTAAAGTAGTCAGCAATTTGTATAAAACCAATGACTGACTTGTATGCAAAAGCCTAGCTTACTAGTATCAAGGTGCCTACTACAGATTCCAAACTTTGCACGTGAATCTGGAACACTAAAACAGTAGAGAACCTAAGCAATGATATAAACCTACTGCAAAATAGTTAAACTGAAACAGTTTATATCTAGAAAGTTTTAGTTCACACGAACACGGAAACCCAGTCAGCTGACATACATGTCAAAAAAAAAACGAATTAAAACAAAAGAGGTTGAATTATAACCGATTATCCACGTGCATATTCGTGCGGTAAACAATGAGCCACACTTATAAAGTGAAGGTTAATGATGGTACCTGACGGCCTAAACCTCTGTAGGTGGGGCGTAATTCGCATGCATGGCTCACTAGTTGAAAGTCAACAAGCCTGGATGAATGAACCATAGCTTCACACTAAACTCACAGCAAATATACACTATACAACATTCAACTCAGCTGTATCTTTGACTTCTAAGATATCAACTGAATTCGATAGTGATATCTTCAAAACCACTTGATTATCTTAAAGATAAACTTTGACGATATTCGCAGTTTTACTAGAATGTAAAATGTTTTACTCTTAAGCATCAAAGTATAGTTTTAACCAGATCTTTGGTATTTTTAATCTTACCTATCTACTTCTCATCTTTATTTTTTAGTTCTGTGGAAAATATTCAGCTTCAATCATGTTTCGCTTAAAGCTCAACATACTGGGTGACATCTCAGGTGCTGTGATCTTTATCATACAAAACGAAATGGTTATCAAGTGAGTAAATAAAGTCATATTCAAATTCTTGGATGATGTGATTAAAAACTAATTTGAATAAATCCATCTGATAGGCGATAATTTAATACCCTGAAAACTGAAAATGTCTTCCAAATGTTGGTTGTTGGACAGAAACAGGTTAAGATAAGGCTTTCTAGAGGTAAACACCAGGCATTGATGTTAATTTCATTCTAAAATCATATAATTTGTTTACTTCCACATAAAAATCAGGACCAAGTATCATAACCAGTAGTCAGTTAAGTTTTAAAAACAATAATTTCATAGAATTTTTTTTTTAACCAATAATCAATGTAATATTTCTATAATTTAGAAGTAAATTATGTTTGAAAGATAAGATTCACCGTTGATTCTTCTCTTATCTTATGGAACACAGTACACATCTACACTGACAATGACTCGACTGACGACGACTTAATACAGCCTAGTAAATATGCAAAACTTATCAAGTTGAATGTTTTCACTCTTCATAATCAAGAAGGAAAATATAATCATGAAGAAAAACCTGATACTATGTACACTTCAAGTGTCTACGATGAAGAAGCTTATGATGATAAGTGGGGTTACTTACGTTTGTTGAAGAACAATTGTTCATGGGGAAAACGATACACTGAAACTTTTATAACCTTGTCACCATTTTTGATGTATGTTTGTTGTCACTTGTTATATTCTTTTGGTGACTACTTGGTATAACTTAAGTTACACCTGTGTGTAGATGTATGGGAAACAATCTTCAAATTCCACTCTTGACGGTCGCTCAGTTTCTCCATAAACCGAAGAGGCGGTAAGATAACAGGTGTATCATAACCTCAATCAAAACACAAAATACGATGGTATATATATATATATATATATATATATATATATATATATATATATATATATATATATATATATATATATATATAATTGGCCTTCGCTGTTTCAACACCTTTCTAGATTTGAATGTCCTACTGATTTTTTTGTCTCTTCAACCAATTTTATGTCTACATATTGGTTCATGTGCTTTTTCTCGAAACTTCGGAGTGAGACGACTAGTTGTAAAAGGTTTCAGGGTTACATGACTTCCTATGAAGATTTTATCTACCTATCTGCACAATGTAACAGAAATCTTGGTGGATATCACTGTTTTTGAAGTTACATTGAATGTGAAATATGGACATCACAAAACAACACCATTTAAGCGAATACTTCTTAACGACGGTTGTGTAGAGTAAATATATTGGCAAGAATTATAAAACAAGATAAGCTTACCATTTTTTTGTCTAATGCATTTTTAATCAACCAAGATTGTTGAAGTGTTTTAAATTTCCAACTTTCATAATCATGATGCCATATTCTTAGATAATTTAAAGCTTCCTCTTGAGCATCAGTAATTGGTTTCATTTTCACTTCATTTTCCAGTGATTTTCTAGCATTCATTTGTTTACGTGAAAATTTCTTTTTTAGTTGACGCTTTTTATATTTTTTCAGTTTAATTAGATTTTGTTTTTTCGCTTTTTACTTAAATCTTCTGGGTTATCATTAGTAGTAACAGCAGTATTGTTGACATTTTCAGGTTCTTTTTTTAAAGGTCCAGTGATAACAGGATGGTTAATTTGCGTAGTTTTGTAGACGTCTGAAAATCATAAATAGTAAACAATTATAAGGTTGTAGCAATACGGTAAACATAACACACTATGCACACATTAATCGAATAATTACTGAAGAATGACTATGAATGAGACTTTTTGTTACCACTGGGAAATATTTTGAAGAAAACAACTTGAGTTCAGTGTATTCAGAACATTCATACTAGCGGTTTCAGCATCCCCATCTATTAAAGCATGATCGAGCTGGATGTGAGTTGGTTGGAGGCAATCGGTATGAAGCCCTGCACCTAGATTTTGTGCTTGTCAACACTCATCAGTAAGGCGTATCTGATGTCCCCTGTGGGATTCGAACCCGCACCACCCATTGTTGCATTAACAACGTTACCATATTACAAAATGATCGATAAAATTCGGTCAGTACTCAGGACTAGAAGGCATGTGATTGGTTGCACTCCAGTGATCAATTAGTACATGATTGAGTTGCTCAAATGTAACAAACGCACCGTAATAAATTACTGTTTTAGGTTGAATCTTACGATACGCAAATTGATGATTTCTGCTTATTCATAGGATTAGTGACTAAATCAGTCATAAGAACATATAGTATCGCAATAATAAAATACAAATCGATCACGTATACAGACTTCAGGTGGCATGAGACTTATTCAGTTTATGATTATAGTTGACCAAAGATGATTTAACATGTTTGATGATCAATGAGTCAATGTCAACATAGGGCCAAGCATTACTACACAACGGCCCAAGTTTCCACACGTCATATCAGTGCAACAAGTAACAGAGCAGTAGGATAACAGATGAAGAAAGAGAGAAAGATCAGAAAAAAGTAGGAAAATCGAGAAAAGAGGAAATGCTGTTAAGTGGTTAAGATGAAGATGATGTGTAGATACATCTGCGACACTGACATCAGTTCTCAATCATGTCACCTAGTCTCCACATACTGGTTTCAGTTGTCACATGGACCTCAGCCGGTTAGTCTGCATCTCCCTACATGCCTCAAACCAACAGTCAAAGACTTCACATAGTCATGCCATATTTTAGTCTGGTCGCCCTGGGCCCTTTTCCATTCATCCAAATCAACATAGGACCAGGCATTAACTGTGTAACGGCCCGAGTTACTACAGCTCATATCAGTACATCAGGTAAAAAGGCAGTGAGGCGCAAGATGAAGATAAGAAGATTCAGTCAAAAGAAATATAAAGTACTAAAATAGAGAAAGGAAGAATGAGAAAATGGTGAGGTTCGGCATAGCACTAAAATGAGGATAATGCGCCACTAACATCGGTTCTGAGCCGTATCGCCTGGTTATCTCTTGTCCCGCAGACCCCAACCGGGTAGTTTGCCTGAACCCGTTTACATCATGATCATCAATTTTCAGTAAAAAGCTGACATTAAGGAAAACGATAATTTTGTCTTAGTCCAAAGTCTAGGATTTGCTAAGTTAGATTTTAATGGATTATACTTTTGATTGGCTAAAACCTGCACCATTACACAACTTAATGTTTAGTTACCACCATCGTAGAACATTTTGTGTTTCCTCAGGAACCCTAGTTCATTTGCTCTTGAAACAGATGTTGATCAGAAGTGACGGATTCGCAATTACCAATGAATCAGAATTAAATAGAGGTGTAATAATTAGAATCATTACATCATATCCGTATCTTGTGTTTCGAAAATGGAGTCTACTGAACAAAGCCCATAAGTTTAAGAAACCATTCCATTTTTTCCCATTTTCCATTCCCATTTTTATGCATAGGGCTACACGAACCAACCGGTGGAGTTATTTCAGTTTGCGTATATATTACTAAGTAGGATAGGAACAAGTGCTAGGTCATTCCGTGGAGCTATGACTCACTTGTCTTGTGTCATACTTCATCTACAGAGGTTTAGGAAGTCAGATGGTATAACAAATATCCACATAATCGGGACGATTCAGATGCGAGTATCTGCATCTGTTTGCTGAACTACATCATATCCAGTAGTTTACGTTGCAATATACACTACGACGTCGAGATTAACTGGACCATAACTAGGTACACTATTATATGACTTCTGAAAGGTATTGCATCTGTATGTAAGAGTTTACATTCATAAGACTTGATTGTACGACAACTATTGCAGTTTCGCAGATGAGGATGAAAAGAAATTCCTATGAAGCAACTAAGATTGTTATGTAGCTGTTCGAGTTGCCACACCTCATATCACCAAATCCAGTGACAACGCACTAAGAAAGCAGTCAAAAGTGATAAAGTCATCCCAAGAATCCAAGGAGGAATAAGAATACTGAAATTCAATGTGACAAAGACAATGTAGGGATACATTTCGCCCTCGGGATCGATTCTCAGTCATGCCACCTAGATTCTCCGTATACTGGTTTCTGTCGTCACATGGACCCTAACTGTGAAGTCTACATTTCCCTACACAGCTCAGACCAATAGTCAATGAATTCATGAACTGATATCATGTACTTTCTAGTCGTCTCTAACCCTTTCCCAACCTGAGCTTACTTCACCTAACATTGTGCGACCAGGCAGACGGTGACTACACATGTAAAACAGTCATTTGGGGGCGATGAAGTGTTATAACCTTATTGACTAACTTTGATACCACTCTTTTTCGATTCACTTTTTTGATGCATCCCATTGAGAAATCACTAGGCAGAAATCTCACACAAGAGATAATGCGATAAGTTCAAAGCACACCTCGGAGGAAACTACTCCGCAAGACTATGAATGCTAGTCTATGTACAAACTAATTTTCACACATACTTAGTTGTAAACAGGTTTGTACGTACTTTACTATTAGTACTACAACGTTGTGAATGATAGACTCTTACTTCAGTAGTGAACTTTTTTATCTTCATCAAAAAAAGAAGTAACTTTAGGGATTTTTATCATCCTCAAGAAACTTCTAAGACTGACGACTAGTTACAGTGAAGCCTTTGGTCTGAGAATGCACATGAAACGTAATAATAGCATACTGAAGTAATACTTTAGAAAAGAAGCCATAAAATGTTCTAGCTGCCTTATTCAGTGTTCCTTCCAACAATACACGTAACACTATAGTTCTATAGGGCCGTGGATAACAGATATGCATGAAATGAATGAATTTCAATGGAGAAGGGGTAGAGTTGAAGCTTAATGATGAGAAACGTAAGTTACTGGTTCACACAGAATTCATCTAGATAGCAAAATGCAATAGTCACCTTTCCATAAGATGCATGATAAACACCTTTTTTTTATGTGTAACTTTAAATGATTATCAGATGTTATATTGCTTACCCCATGAAAACAAGTTCGAAGTGAATCCGTCTATTATGCCACAAGGGTGAGAAATAATCAGCTTATACACATAACAATGTAATACACTTTGCATAATATGTTAGGAGCGAGTCTAGATAAACATTGCAGTAGTAAGCGTAGCGATACTACACAAAATGCGCAAACAAACTATGGGGGCTAAAGAAAGAAAATAGAGAATTTTGTACAATTAATTCTTTATTACTTATTCATTGTATACAATCGCTTCTTTTCTTCATCAAATACTAACAATTGGTAGCTAGAATACACATATAAAAGTATATAGGTGATTGAAAATGTCACCTAATATATCAGCGGATTATAGTTACATGAAAGTTCAATCTATGTCCTAAGACCCAGAAAGATTTATAAGAGAAGCTAAAGATTAACCTAAGGTTCATTAATAATTGTTGAATGTTTCATAGTGAAATAAATGGGGTGTATAGGCTAGGTGCGGAATTGTGCGGGATGGACCGATATCGATTTCAAAGAACTACCTACCTACAAAACAAGATGAAAAGCAAAAAAAATACAATAAACAATTATTATTATCATTATTACAACTTATTTGTGAAGTTAAAACATATCTATGAAGAAAGCATGGTAAGCTTTAATTTTAACGAACAATCTTAAAAACATCTTGATAACTAAAAAGTTTGATTCCTTATTAGCACGACAAAGTAAACAAAAATTTCAGTAACAATTTAAAAGTATGTACAGCAACTAAAAGTTACGTGTTTTGTAAGAAAGCGTACCATACCACTTACTTTTTCAGAAGGAAATAAGCTGATTAAACTCTCTCCTGTTACTTCACGGTTATGAAGACTAAAGGCAACAACAATGAGTCAGATCGTTAAATAACAGTTGTAGATCATTTGCATTATAAAACGTAAGTAAATACTTGTTAGAAATAAGTTTTTAAAAAGTTGATAGCAAGAGGTGAATTTAAAAACATTTTCTCATGGAGAAAATGTGTAAAAGCGAAATGAACATATTCATCACTGCTGGAAGGGTTTAAATATTCAGATTAACAAAACGTATGTAACATATATATTAGGGTGACCTTATGGTATGAAGAAGCATACAATACTAAACTAATGTGAAAAACAGTGCAGATGAAAACACTGAATACATTTATCACAGTACAGATAAGAAATGCTTACATTTCAATAGATCTAGAGCCAGAAATGAAAGAAGAAAAGCAAATGGGAATACACTGCATAGGTTCGACACAAGTAGGAGCAAAAGAGAGGAAACTGAAAAGCAATTTACCACAATATGAAGATATTGCTCATTCGTTACGGCAACTGATTTTGAACAGTAGGGCACTGGTTCGAAACCCTCTCGTCTACCGAGGTTTAGATATCCAGTTATTATTAACAGACACCACAGAATGTGTGCTTCATTGTTTAGTGCACGAATCCACCCAAATTTGGTGCGTTACATTTCGTTCTTCCTGTTATCGTAGTGATATCTTTTCTTAAAATAATACATTTGCTTTATTGCGAACCACAATTTTGTTTACATTATAGAATTCTTAGCATGCTACACTGCATCAGTTTAGCCATTGTACAACACTTCTGAAGTATGTATCAACAATGGTAAGGGTCAAGAATATATAATAAAGAATAACAGGATTGTTAAAATGCTTAGTATCTTCAAGATCACAATAACTGTTAGCCATTACAAAGTTTATTGATAAGATTACTTCTCACATGATTTTCTTCATATAATACACGAGGTAAATAAGGTATACTTGAAATTTTGCATGAAGTTGTGAGCACATAAGGTTTAATATATTTGTCTCTTGTCCTCCCTGAGAACAAACACAGACAAAGGTTCGAATGCAGATGATACTTGTCATCAGATAAAATATTTCTAGCCAACTGCCTACAAGAGTTCAGATGTCTATCTACAACCGCATATATCAGTACGGTTAGTGGTGTATCATTCGCTTTACTAACAGACTTCAAAAAATCCTGCGCAATGCAGTACAGACTTTCTTCCAGAGTCCAGAAAAGAATAAAGACGAACAATAAGTGTAGGCGAAACACAGGAACTAACGAAACGTAAGAATAGGGCTGGTTTACGCTAAACGGTCTGAGTTTTCGCGCATAGAAGTTCAAGTGAAGGGTTTTCCTGGAAATCAGTAAATATATGAGGGGACCAAGAAAGACCAGGAGAAAAACATAAGCCAAGATGGATAAAACAAGAGTCATAGGGCTGAAGCACTTCACATAAGTTTTCTTGACGTTTTGAGCTAAGATTAAACATCCTACATGTGGGAGAGCTAGTGATATACCTCGTTGTCCAAATCTCGGCAGGTGGAACAGCGTTCGAACCTGTGACCCTATTGGTTAAGAGTCAACTACCTGAACCAGTGAGCTACAGCTCCATAATTACAGTTAGTACTTGAAACTATTTTTGAATCAAGTGTTCTGATCTACCAAACCGTGGTTGGATTAAACCCCTCGTATGGAATCTTTTAAAATACTAGAACTGTCCCGTTTACATCCTCTCCAACTAGTTGATCTCTTTATGGTGGCTACTCGTTTTGTTTGCGAACTAACACTCAAAAAATCAATAGCAACATATTTTTTACACTCATGAAGATGCTAAATTAGAATGGGATGAATTAAGACATTTCAACAAATAAAATCCTCCCCTTTTTCATACTTGATGTAAGAATCAGATACTGCTTGTACGTAAGTTTACTTATCAACACACTATTTAAAAACAAACTTGGTACGGTATACGGACCAAGAGACACCATAACGTAATGTAGCACGCTGAAGTCAAAAATGAAAGTAAACACGCAGTTGGTCTGATGCTATATGTTCAAAGAAAGCCTTTATTACTTTTCAAACGGAGAAAATAAGGAAATTACAACATAATCGCCACTGACTTTTTTGAGTCACATTTGGCGGTCTTGAGTCAATGAATAGCATAATATCTCGGATCATATCAAAGAAGTAGAGAAGTGACAAGAGATGCTACCCAAAACAACTATCCTTCATCTCACAGTATCGCCATATCCAACCAATCCTAGGGTGAGTGAACGAAAAACGATATGGCAGTGGCAAGGACGACATTTGTAACACATCCAAGCTAACGAAGCTTGTGCTTGAAGATGAATTTACTTAATGAATGATAATATCCATCACGAATCGCGTCTTATCAGTACTACTTACGTAATGTTTCTACCGCACGTGAACAATTCGACTGAGGTAATGGTGATCCAACACAGACATCCTCAGTTTTATAGACGTACAGCAGGACCGCACACATAAAAGCATTGTGCGGTCGAACTAACGTCATGATGGACTCAAAGGTGACCCAGATTGGCGTATGCTGTCTTTATTTTTGAAATACGATTAGAAATCTCATCCATCACACTCTTGTCAACACTAAGAACTGTCCAAGGATACGATTTTTTTTACTATCTCCGAGGACCCACCGCCAAAGGTGAGTGAGAGTGCACGACCATCGCCAAAGTTGTGGAGATACCTCGCGAGTGAATAACATCTACGAATACTAAACACTAACTGATTAAGTGCCACTTAAGTACTATGCCACCAACGAGCACCTACTTCAGATCTATATCAGATATCGTCAGTAGTCAGATTAGTGAAGTTAAAGGGAGGAATCACTTTGACTAGGTGAACAAGACCCTAAGGTCTACAGTTATGTGACACAACCTGAGTGGTTTGCACCGACTTCTTGTTTAAGGACAGAAAGTGAGTTGGTTGAGTATGTTCACCACTTCACTTACTTGGAGTTGTATTGTTGACGAGACTTCAGCTTGGATGCAAAAGGCCGTTTGGCACTACACAACTCATATTCTCTCTAGGGCTGGTAAGATATACAACTACTTGTCGAAGAATATGTACAGTGTGCAGTAGTCAACTCTGTCCTGCTATATGCCCGTGAGATATGGCCCCTGAAATTAGAGGGTATGAAGAGACTACAGGTTTTTGACGACGGGTTTCTTCGTAACCTTGCTCGCATATGATGGAGTTATGAGCAATGTTGAAGTCAGGTGAAGGATACTAGACAAGATAGGCAAGTTAATTGATGAGGTCGTGAACCCCAGTCAACTAAGGTGGCTTGGAGATGTACAGCACGTGCCGAACCATAGTCTACCTTGATGTGCCATGCTAGAGGAAGTTGGATTAGGTTAGAAAAGGGCTCAGGGTGACCAAGAAGTTGCACAAGTAGATGAAGTCCCTAACTGTTGGCCTGAGCCTTGTGGGAAGATGTAGACTGTCTGGTTAGGGTCCCTGAGACGAAAGGAATCAGTGATTGAGGACTCTCGGTGACATGGCTGAAGATCGGTCAGAATGGCGCAGATGTATTCAGTCATTAATATCTTACACAGTTTTAATCATCGAATAGGCCAAAAATGAGCGGTAATAAAAACAGTGCACTGGTTGTTGGGACTACAGTAGGCAATGTAGAGCTCCAGTCCATAACCTAGTAGTTGAAAATTGTCTAATTTAGTGGACCATATCTATTTAGCGTTGAAAATACAAATCGCTATCACTACTTGACGTGTTGAACTGATTAACCAAGGGATTTATGTAGTCGCTCTCGTTTAACTGAATTCATTTAAAATACTTGTATACTAACCGCAAACGCAAAATTCTCTACCATGACAAATAACTTCAGCTGTACCACATGAGCGCAGAGATGCCAACTTTTCGGTCAGTTAAGATATTCAATTACATTGCATAATGGAAATTCGCATAAACATTATTACTACGAAATTGTGTAAGCTACTACACTGTTTGTGAACTGGGATTGTTGAATAATTAACCTGAATTTCAGTATGTTTTAGGCAATTAAGTTTACAAAATTGAGGAAAATTCAGGAGATCCAAGCAACACAGAAAGAATATATTAATTTCAAAGCAAAAATAATGGATGAAAACGAATCTATATTTAGTCGATGAGTGCTAAACATACAAATAGACCAGTAGGCATCTGTTACTTTACATTACCCAAAACTGAAGTTTCTGTACACACACCTAGTTATTACTCTCTACTGGAATTTACTTCCATAAACAGAAGTATAAAATGATTTTATGGTAGTTGTGGAGAGGAAAATTGGATATAACAAACCTCATATTAAGAACGTGCATCATAAACTGATTCTGGAACGTTTACAACTAAACCATCCATATCTTCGGTAACCACAATTTGACAGCCAAGACGGGATCTAAAACGAAATAAAGACAGCAATAATTAAAAACGCTTACAACGACATTGCTTGATAATACCTGCACAAGAAAACATTTCATGGTTCGAAATCTGATACCATAAAGTCGATCAAAATCGATAACTAAACACAGAGCTCCACTAACACAAAAGCTGGATACGGGTCAACGTAGGCATCCTGTTCAGCAGCTTGCCGTAGAATGTAACACAGGCATCAACGTCAAATCTTGCATAGGAATCCATCATTTCATGTTGTCACAACAAAACAGTATATAACGTGGAAGGTTCTAATGCGACTTCAGATTTTCAACTAAAAACCCTTCAGTGTGGCAGTGAAGGGACCGAGCACCATGCCTCCCAGTTAAGATATTGTAATAAAGTCTGTTGATCAATAGAGTCAAGCGTTACATTAAGAACAAGGAATACATATATTGTTGAGGACCGGTAATATGTCTGTATTCAAACATCCAGTAGGTGTAGGTCTAGTTGAATCAACCACAGTTAAGTCTGAAAACTGCCTGGTTTTCTTAGTTTTGCTAAGCTGCAGCAGCAGGTAGAAACTCGATGATTATAGATCTTATATTTTTGAAGACCATATTAGTAAGTACAGTTCCGCTGCAGTTAGCAGAGTAGACTTTAGCCTTCCTTGAAGGATGGGACAATCAGCGACTAAGACTAGTCACAGAAAATTATATCTGATGCTCATAAGCCAACCAATGCTCATCAATATGTTCGTTCAGGTTGAAGAAATGTCATACAAAACTGAACTTGGATGTGTCGGTCTATGAAGTATTCGGCTACCAGACTGAGTAATGCAACGGATGACAAACTTACAGGCTGGGGTTTATCTGACAACGCAAATCGGTAGTTGGATGCCCTAAATGACATGGCTTAGGACTTATTACAATGGTGCAGATGTATCCGCATATTATCATTTTTATAATCAACCGATCACATAAGGTTACCTATTTTATCTTCCCTTCTCCTTATATAACCTTTTACGTCTCTTGCTTACGAATTGTTTTTACCTTTTATCTGATTGGTTTGCATCTTGATGTGCTGATTTGGTGTGACAATTTGAACTTTTGGTGCACGATACCAACGTCCACTTTGATAATGAATGACTGATAGCATCTATTTGACTTGGGATGCATAAACTTCTTTTAGGTGACGGAAAGTGCTCGAAGTGGAGCTATGGCTCATCGGTTTAGTTGGTTGGCTTTCAATCAGTGGGTTACGGGTTCAAACTCAGCTCAACCGATTGAAGTTTGGGCAGTCGAAATGCACTTAACAATCACATGCCCATTCGTACAGTAGATAAAGAACAACACTTCTTGTGAGATGGTTAATGATACTATCTGGTTTCCCAGACCTCCGTAGGTGTAGCACGGTTCAAACCTGTGACCCATCTACCGAAAGTAGAATCCTTAGACCAATAAGCCGCAACTCCACACCTGAACAATCAGGTAGTACCATTAGCTCTTACAAAGGTGTTGTTAACTCTCTACTGCATGGAGCTGCATATAATGAATGAATGTATTTCGATTCAAGGTATGCTTTATATGCTTTTGGTTAGTGTAGAATGTAACATGATACTGCATTATTTGTCAGCATCAACACGGATTGTAAAAATATAGGTAAAACGGTAGAGTGAAGTGCTCACTTTACATGTTCGGGAAATTGCATCAACTCTAGTAAAGGGACTGCTAACAGAATGTGACCAAGGGCACGAATAGCTCGCGTGGCATCTGCTAACCTAGGTTATCGACGGCGTTTGTGAGAGCTATTCAGCCGAAAATCAAACAGCGAGTGTATTGTACAACAATCTCTTCTGTCTTACACGGCCAACAGTCACCAAAGGTAAGTGGCACTAAGGTAGGTTATACATTTTCAATTACTAGCATTTTTCAGGGATTGGTCTCTGGGACTACGTTTTACGCAAAGTAGTTAACTCAGCATATGAGGCTTTAGACAAACTGCATGACGTATCTAAGACAAGAATACCCAGTTATTAAGGCACGGCGTTGACTGAGATGGAGGTCAGACAAATACATGAAATGCAACAGAGAAGTCCAGACTTTGCTTATGGATATTAAAACGATATGAATTAGTCTCTGAAGTACCGATGTGTATATGTAAGTGGATAACAAAGCCAAGTGCATCCTTTATTCATCACTGACGTTTTAAACACCTCAATATCATCCATTAGTTGACTGCTTTCAGTTTCTTTTTAGTGCAGCTTAATAATCAATTTCTGTTAGCCGCTTCTATTTGGTTGTGAAGATTAATAACTTGAACCACCATACTCCCGTACAACTTACTTTTTTTCTTAAAGTATACGGTAAAAACGAATATGGAACAACATATAAACCAGAGCACAGAAAATTGCGACCAAATTTAAGAAAACCAGAATATAGTATAAAAATCTACAAGGTGACATAGCATTGCATTTTTTCCACATTGTGGTATATTTATCAAGGGTATCATGTCAGCCCTGTGTGGAAATGAAAAGCTTGCAGTTGTTGATGTTTCACGACGTCGTGGAACGTCAGAAATTCCACTTCGAATTTTACAAATATATTTCCTTATTAATTTGTTTATTCAATAGCCGAATTATTCAATTCTTGCGTCTACTGTTGTGAAAAAAACAAAAATGACTACAATTCATCTAATTTTTCAGAATGCTCTCAAGGTGAATGTAACTAGTGTAATCTAAAGCCCAGTATAATCTAGATAAAATGTATGATATAAATATCTCATAGGCTCTACTAGGCAGATAAGCGATCATATCCTATTTTCCACATGTGAAAACTAGTGTAGGCTAGTGGATGCAAACCATTCAGCTGCATTAGTTCATCCATTCCAAGTACCACATCCAAACAATTCACTGCAAGCGAAACTACGAAGAGGTGTCGATGCTCGCATTAGTTGTTACTCAAATCAATATAAAAGAAAAGTAGGTAGGTGCAGACACAAGGCTCGGAAAACTTTCATGCATAAAGCAGCACGGACCTGAGTAGTCGGATAATACAATTTTTTTTAGAATTATAAGACTGTGAAGCAACAAGTGTTTAGGTTGCTTATTTGTTAGCAGCGATATTCAAGATTATTTCACATAAATGTTACTTTGATTTGAATAACCTAATCAACATTTTTTCAGGAAGCATGGATGAAAATGTTGAGCTAATTAAAGAGCTTGTTTACCTGGTCAGAGAAGTGGCTGATGCCTATCAACACAGATAAATGTGAGGATGCACATGGGGCACATAAATAGCAACACCTATGATACTGGTGGAACTCCTCTACTGTTAGTAATGACCCTCAATGACCTGGGAGTCCCACTGAGGTCTGTTTTGAAAACCACGACACACTGTCGATTGGTAGCAGCTCGGAGTTTTAGGACAATGGGCATTACGCAGAACGTTTACAAAAATACGTGGTGATATATTGACCACTCTTTACGCATCATTAATTAGGTCTAATCTAGAGAACTGTAAACATGCAGTAAATCCATATATGAAAGGAGACTCAGCCCATGTGGGAAGAGCTCAAAGGACAGCAACTCGCATGAGCCCTGGAATAGCTGGCCTGGCCTATGAAGATCGACATAAGGAGCTGAACCTCTTCTCTTTATCCTATCGCAGAGAGAGGGGAGATTTAATCATGCTATACAGGATTCTAGGGAATAACTTCGGACCTGATCTATCTTCCGTTTTTCTTCCCACTAGGTCGAGGCACCTCAGAGGACATAGCATGAAGATACAAAAGAAAAGAACGGACTTAGTCTCCGCAGAGTACCGATTTTCGCGTCGAGGAATCAACTCCTGGAACCGACTCCCAGAAAGTGTCCGCATCACCAACTGATTTGTTCAAATCAGAATTAGGCAAGCACGGACATCCACTAGAAAAGGATTAATATAGGCTCATAGCCTATCCTGAAATATGAAATGCGGGAGACTAAATGAAAGGAAACGAAAGATAAACCAAATACATGTGGAGCAAAATCAGTAAATATGGGGCTAACCAATGAAACATGGAACCAGAAGAAGACGCAGCAATGTCACAAAACCCGAGTTTCCAAAGCAAGTTTTCCGCATGGCCTCTCGTCTTGCCACGCGAAAATGTTGATTGGGGATTTGCTAACAACTTAAGCCTCCAACGGGACCATTTAAGGTAATTCATTTTTCTCAGACTTACGTGTCAGTCAGGTTATATGCTAAATCTAGCAAATCTTGTTCCTCCTCGGTTAGAGGATTATGTAACTTTGCGTAATCTTTTTCAGAGAAGATCAGATGACAAGTTGAACATGCCAACGTACCTTCGCAAGCACCTAGATCCATTAAAAACCAACAAAGAGGCATACCAAACCCATCAATATCAACGTCGTTATCTAGAACAACATCCAACAAGCTGTCACCAATTTTAGCTGGGACGGTCTTCCTGCGCCCATCCTTCCAGGTAAATGTGACATCCACACTTTATCTTAATCACAATGTGAATAAGAATGACAAATACCATTTCCCTTGTTGAGTACTGAAAGACTTCTTAAATAATGATTTAACCAATCGTGGGTAAGAAATGCTGCACACTTTGGTAGCGAAGGCATCGAAAAAGGCGCAATGATAACAAAATATACAATACTGATTTTCAGTGAGTTAAGGTCAAGGTTTTACTCCATAGGTATCCCTACGACTGGCACTTCTGTGATGGCTTATTCTCAGTTTGAACATGCCGACAAAATAAGCTTCAGGAAGTTAGACTAATTATTGACTGGACGGCGAAAATTGTTCAGGCATTAATGTAGGCCACTTCAAACTTCAAACTTCATGTTGTAGAGTTAGTGAACTGTAGTCCTTGGGTTCTGCGTCTGTTTCATTGCAATAACTTCTGAGTTTGTAATGGTCACAATTATCTTCCCGGTTCTGAAAACCTGAAAGGATAGAGATACGTATAATTAATTAATCTGGTCTCAAGTTAGTATTACTGCACCTGATCTGGGGAAAGCTTCTAGAGTACAGCCCATCGGTACCGTAGGGCTCAAGGTGTGCGTCTAGCCTCCCTCTAAAAGTATCAGGGGATGGGGCTGTAACAGCTGCTGAAGGTACGGAATTCCACAGTTTACAGACTAACTGCAAATGAGTTAGCACGGATCTTTGTTCGTGCTCTCTCATGCCCTATTCTTAACGTATGACCCCTCAAGTCGCGTTGCCGACTCAAGCTTAAAAGGGATCTGTTAGCATGAGGGGATTATGAGCTATGTGGTACACCATGAACATATCCACTCTGATCCTCCGGTAATGTACTGGGTGCAGCTGAAGAGCAGCTATGCGGTCTGGGTAAGGTTTGTGCCGTTATGGCGTCACGCACTTCCTCAAAATCAGTAGCCTGGGGTCCCACGACATTAAACATTGGTGCTGGCCTTGATAGTTTAACTGGACTCGCTAAGCTGAAGGCACCCGGCCAAGCATCCTCGCCATTTGGCACGCTGTCGTGTTACGTTGCACCGTTCATATTCGACTCTCTAGCCAGTTAGTTGGAACTCATCGGTATCTTGGTACAACCACCCAAATATACTACTCCATCCGACTACGCTATCGTGTTCTTCCTTGGTCTCGTATTCGTGGGTACATAACAGGTCCGAATAATTGGTGATTGGTCTTTGCGTCTGTCAAGTTCGCACCAGGACAAATTCCTAAATTGGTGAGCCCGACGTGATCACATACCCCGACCAATAACGAATATTGAATTGGTGAGCCTGTTCCATTTTATATTTGTATACTGTTTTCGTTTCGATAACATTTATATATCCATTCACTACACTTCCTCATGTCTGGCCACACTCCCAAGCTTATTTGTATTAAGCCGACTACGAACACAATCCAACTCGTGCCATATTGGCCAGACAATGCAGAAACATGGTTTCTGTATGCCGAGGCAGATTTTCGAGAACAGGGCATCTCAGACCCTCATTCTCGATTTCTTGCCGTCATACGTTGACTACCACGGGAACTAAACCTGCATGTTACGGCACATATGTTAATCCTGAAGTGATCCTTATGTACCTCTCAAGGTCGCACTCTTGAAGAAAAGTGATCTCACAGATCGCCAGCGCCTAGACGAACTGCTTCGTAACGTCGAGCTAGGCAGTCACTCAGCCACTGAAGTCCCCGCACACATGCGAGAAGTTATGGGTGCACGAACATTCGACAGTGGCCTTTTCCGAGAACTATTTCTCTCAAAACCACTACAACCGGTGCAAACCGAGTTAGTGACACTGCAGCCAGTCCCACTCGATGACCTGGCAGCCTCAGCAGATAAAATACTGGAGATTTCTAGCGGGCCCGTTTCTAAAGAATATTTTGTCTGCGACAAACCAGAGAGCCAGGATTCAGAGGTGACCAAGCTGTGCAACTCTTAAACAGCCGCTACGACCTCGAAGTCCCAGGTCACGTACCACTGCACGGAAACGCATCTTAGCACATAGCAACAACTCGCGTGGTTGCCCCAAGACTAAACCTAACAGGGTGGAAAACCTAAATAGTACTGGTTTCGTAATACTTACGGAGATTAAGCCAGAAAATGTCGGAAACCATGCAGTTTTAACAAGGACACAAACTCGGGAAACGGTCACTCCGACACGTGTTCACGGCAACCATAGCCGGCGGAAAAAGCCATTTGCTCTACGTCACGGATATTAAAACGAAAGTTCACCACCTCGTCAACACCGGCGCAGAAGTTAGCGTTCTTCCCGCACTGACAAAGGAGCGTCATTATGACCCATCCTTCAGTGTCCAAGCAGCCAACGGCAAAGCAACCGCAACATTCCGGAGGCGGTATGCCTACCTCATCTTAGATTTACGTAAACCTATTCACTGGATTTTCCTCCTGGCTAAAGTTTCTATGCCCATCATTGGCACAGATTTGCTAAGCCACTACGATTTACTCGTAGATGCTCGCCGTCGACGTCTAGTCGATAACAACACAAAGTTATCTATTGGCGGTACCACCTACGTAGGTCCGAGTTTAGACATCGTTAGAACTAAACAGTCGGGCGACGCGTCCTACCAGGCATTGTTGGAGAAATATCCGGAGTTGCAACAACCGAAGCACGCTCTTCCGTGCATAACCAGCAACGTTATGCATCACGTCACAACCACAGGTCCACCTGTAGCATCCAAAGCACGCCGTCTAGCACCTGATAGGCTCAAAACGGCAAAGAGTGAATTCGACCAAATGCTCGAAATGGGCATTATCAAACCGTCAAACAGTCCTTGGAATCACCATTTCACACGGTTCCCAAAAAGGATAGCAACGACTGGCGTCCAACCGATTATTACTGAAGGCCTAACGCTAAAACAACACCGGTGGATAGCCCAATTATCGAAATTCTTGACGATGTGCCTGGCAGTGCACAGTAACAATGACCATCGGCGCAGCATAAAACAAGATCAAGTCGAACCGTCAGGTTCCCGAAGTGTTTAAAGCCGTATTCAACTTAGTGGTGTGACATGGGATGTGCCAGCCACATTTTTTAAAATCAGTTAAAAATTTTTTTGGGGCACCATTTTTCTTATTTACCGGCAATGCGCAAATCCTCATACATTTTGCCTTTTTATGTCAACTTTTTTACTACCATGTAATGAAACATTTTTTTAAAAAGTGCAAACTTTATTTGCATATATTTGTACATGATTAATTCCCGTTTTTAAGAAACGTCTTTGTGGTATTAAAGGCTTTTATTTATGTTCCAGGTGCAACGGGCACTGGACGGAACGTCAAAAGGAACTGAGGACCATGGTCGATGTCCATTTCGATTTATTGTATTTTATTTTTCACTTGCCGCAACACCCTAGAATAAGTTCAGACAACCAGAGGCCACTCCAAGCTGTGAGCCCATCGGGAGAGTCTTATCAGTGCAGAAACCACTGGTTTTTTACTTCCGGCTGGCATCGCCTAAGGGTCATCACGAACCCACTAGAGGGGAGCGATCTGTAGCGCCACACACTTCCCCAAAATCAGTAGCCTGGGGTCCCACGACATTAAACATTGGTGCTGGCCTTGATAGTTTAACTGGACTCGCTAAGCTGAAGGCACCCGGCCAAGCATCCTCGCCATTTGGCACGCTGTCGTGTTACGTTGCACCGTTCATATTCGACTCTCTAGCCAGTTAGTTGGAACTCATCGGTATCTTGGTACAACCACCCAAATATACTACTCCATCCGACTACGCTATCGTGTTCTTCCTTGGTCTCGTATTCGTGGGTACATAACAGGTCCGAATAATTGGTGATTGGTCTTTGCGTCTGTCTAGTTCGCACCGGGAGAAGTCCTAAATCCCAACTAAGTTTCCGTAAAGCCTTCTGGTGTGATTGTGATGTTTAGATGCCTTTGAGGGACCACATCGCAGTCAACTTGTGTCAGTGTCCTCTATACACCCATTGAAACGCAAACTGAAGCACAATGTTGTTGAAATCTTTTGCGTTTATAATGCCCTATGACCTTTTGCTCCTCTCCTTTTGAGCTTTCCCAGTCTTGTTAATCAAATCTTAATATGCCGGTTAGATTGGCAGCAGACTCCAATGCGGCCGTTAGAAGCAGCATCAGAAGAGTCTGCCCGAACGTCGGGTAATCTTTTTTTAATTGGCTCAAAATCCCCTTTTGTTTTTCATTCAAACTTCACACTTCGTGCCGTGAAATAGCGAAAAATGGTGCCCTTGGTTCTGCATTTGTCCTGATGGATGCCTGCTATGTATAGAATGGTCGATTTTTACGTGAATCAAAGAAATCTGAGACGACTGAGATAGCCGACCGGTCTATCAACCAATCAGTTTTATATCGGCAGCGCTGATATCTATGGTTTGGAAGACGATAAGTGTCCTCCTGTGGACTGTTCGTCTGTATCAAAAGACCCCTCAAATACTCCTGACTTTCTTTTCAGGCCCTCAGGAAAAGGGAATGTAGCAACTTCTTCAGGAAGGGAGTTCCACACTTAACATCCGCAGGTGCAAACGGATTAGGACGGGCCGTCAAATGTGCTGTCTTATACTCTGATCTGAAAGGGTGACCCTTAAGATGGTATTTCTGATTAAGGCCCGGAAGCGATCAATTAGGGTTGAGAGGACTGTGATGTTCGTGATACACAATGACCATATCCTCCCCGATCCTCCTGCACTGTACCGAACACAGCTTGATAGTAACTAAGCGTTCTGGATAACGTCTGTGCCGTAGTCCAAACACTTCTTTTGAAGCCTTCCTCTGAAATCCTTCTGAGAAGGCAATGCTCCCCTTCAGGCACGGGGAAATAGTAGGCGAAATTTCTTCTGGATAAGGACCGTTATGCAGCCCGTGAACCGTAGTGAAA